TACTTTTCTAATTTTACAGATAAGCTCTCAAGTTATTCGAAGCAAGGGGCAATTTGGAGGATTGAAGTTTCGAGAGATATATCTCCTCGAAAGGGCAATCATCCCTTGAGCAATAAACTACTACTCTAAGTGTTCAAGAAAACGTATCTTGACTCTGCTACTCGAAGTGTTCGAGAAGACATATCTCGGCTGTCATAATACCTTCTCGGAATCGAGGTAACACCTTCTTGAGTGATCAATTTATCTTGAGACTGAGGTGTTTCTCAAACCTTTTTTAATATATTTCTCGAATCTAAATCAATCTACAGCTGATATCATTATCATATTACTATCATATCACGATATCTGTTTGAGCACGATTAAAGGAGTTCTTCATATTACCAACCCTCTCGCGGTAAAACCCTATCACCCTTCAACGAGGACAACGTACTCGGGGGCACAAACGGGGGCATACCATTGGGGGAAGGAATTTGAGGGATCATATGTTATTATTATCTTGTATTGCATCTCAATGATATACACACTCGCGGTCCACCGCGCAAACAACGATACTCACGGTCCACCACGTAAACAAGAATATTCGCGGTCCACTGTGTAAACAAGGAACTCTCTAACAATAAGACCTCCTTGAGTCACTTTATTCTCTTTATCTTATATAGTTGACATCTGAGAACAAAAAAGTTTGAGAACTGGGGCAACACCACGAAACTCAAGAAGACATCAACACTCCTAGCAACCCATATTCTTCTCAGCGAATTTCGAGAATATGGCTTACTAGGGGTACTTGACGAGTTAGAATTAAACCCAAGGCCTATTGGACTAGGATTAGGTTATTTAGAGATTAAGCCACCGCCTAAACCTATTACGACTAGGTTTAAGGAAATAGGTAAAATCACCTCTATATAAGGAGGTGGTGCCTCTCCCATAAGATATATCTTCTACCTATCTTCTACACCTTCTACACACGATACACATCCCTCTCTCTCTATTCTCTCTATTCCTTTATTGACTTAAGCATCGGAGAGTCTACCCTCGGGAGACACCCGAGGCTCTGTCTTGCAGGTTTTAGGCCGTCCGCCACCTCCTAGATCATCATCGCCGCCCGTCTTAAGGCACTGTATAGATCTATGCTTCGTCAAGTGGCACGCCCGGTGGGACCGATGTGTTTGGTCTTCAAAACCAAATAAATTTCTTAAAAAGAAGCCGAAATTTGTTGGTTCTTCATGGTGTCTCAATTTGGACCTGAAAGAAAAGATTAATAATTAGGAAATTTTTGTAAAGCTGCCAGCCTTCGACTTTTATGTCAACCTCCTCCAATCCACGATCAGGTCGATGACAGTTCCATCGACTTCTATGTCAATGCCTTCCTGCCAACGACGAGGCCGACGAAGATGCTGTCGACTTCCATGCCAACCTAAACAACCCGACGAATAAGCCGACAAGGGGCAATTTTTATCTTATGGTTGATTAACCCTAATAATTTTCTAATTTTACAGATAAGCTCTCAAGTCATGCAAGCCAAGGGGCAATTTGGAGGATTGAAGTTTCAAGAGATACATCTCCTCGAAGGGGCAAGCATCCCTTGAGCAATACACTACTACTCGAAGTGTTCAAGAAAACGTATCTTGACTCTGCTACTCGAAGTGTTCAAGAAGATGTATCTTGACATTCATAATACCTTCTCGGAGTTGAGGTAATACCATCTTGAGTAATCAATTTATCACGAGACTGAGGTATTTCTCAAACCTTTTTTAATATATTTCTCGAATCTAAATCAATCTACTGTTGATATTATTATCATATTACTATCATATATCACGATATCTTTTTGAGCACGATTAAAGGAATTCTTCAAATTACCAAACCTCTCGGGTAAAACCCTATCACCCTTCAATGAGGACAACGTACTCAGGGGGCACAAACGGGGGCATACCCTTGGGGCAAGGAATTTGAGGGATCATGTGTTATTATTATCTTGTATTGCATCTCAATGATATACACACTCGCAGTCCACCGCGCAAACAAGGATACTCGCGGTCCACCGTGCAAACAAGGAACTCTCTAATAATAAGACCTCCTTGAGGCATTTGATTCTCTTTATCTTATATAGGTGATATCCGAGAACGAAAGAGTTAGAATATGTCTTACTAGGGGGACTTGACGAGTTAGAATTAAACCCTAGGCCTATCGGGACTAGGATTAGGTTACTTGGAAATTAAGCGACCGCCTATACCTATTACAACTAGGTTTAAGGAAACAGGTAATACCACCTCTATGTAAGGAGGTGGTGCCTCTCCCATAAGATATATCTTCTACCTATCTTCTACACCTTCTACACACGATACACATCCCTCTCTCTCTATTCTCTCTATTCCTTTATTGACTTAAGCATCAGAGAGTCTACTCTCGGGAGACATCTGAGGCTCTATCTTGCAGGTTTTAGGCCGTCCGCTGCCTAGATTATCATCGCCACCCGTCGTAAGGCACCATGCAGATCCATGCTTCATCACCCTCAACGCCGAATTAATCAAGAGCTTCCCAGGAGAGCCGCAAATCTGCACGAGCGAGCCAAGAATCCAAGACGACAAAAAAAGGTAGATTAATAAGATTTTCTCAACTCGCTCAATTCAAAAAGTTTCCCTCCTCACAAACTCGTACTGAAGTACAACAGTCCTATAATGCTCCTGCACAATATGAACCCAATCTAAGGCCTATCGAACGGGACTCGGTTGTTGTGCAAGAAATTGGAAAGGCACATCACCAAGGCCGAGATCGCTTTAGGACTGCACACCGGCAAGACAGTGTTCATCCCCACGATACCACTTAAATTTGATGACATCGGCGTACAGGGAATCACCTTTAAGAGGTTTCAGTTTCCTGTCAAACTCTTCTTTGCAATGACCATCAATAAGCCACCATAGATGCTCAAGTACGTCGGGGTGTATCTGCATGAACCGGTATTCTGTCAAAGGACAATTCTACATCGCCCTTTCCAGACCAAAGACATCCACAGCGGTGAAGGTCCTGGCTATGCCACCTATGTTGGACGAGGTCTTAAAGAAAGACAACTGAACTCGGAACATCCTCTACAAAGAGGTGCTCGAGCTCGCTGGCCAGTAGAAATAACAACCTCGTCGTGTGGCTAACATATTTAACTCTAGTTCCTCTCTGTTATTTAAAATTTATACATTCAAATTGTTTATTTAAAAACAACCGTGCTTGTTTATTTGTAATCAAAGACATTTATTACGAATAATTTTCAACTGCGAATTATGAAATGATCGCGCAACGCGCGACTGCCCAAGACTAGTCCTCCTATCCTAAAATAAAAGTCACAGTAGACAAGAAATAATGCCCAAGAAATATTCAAGGAGGCATCTTCAAATCGATCTTGTACATCAAATGGGGTTAATATGACGTCAGCGACTTATTAGGGACAAAAATGGGAATTCATAAATTCAATTTATCCAAATAAATTAACATCCGTAATCTTTTGGGAACCCCCCACCAATAATACAAAACGATGTCGTTTTAGACATCTACGTGAGGTCAAAATCGCAATTGAGAAAATCAGGTTACCCTTTCGATTTATTAAAGAAATCCGCCAGTTTTTGGAAAGAAAAAAAAAAACCCCAACAACGAAACGACTTAGTCAATTCCTTTGCAGTTCCTCAAGAATTTCTAGAAAATTCTGAAAGTTCTTATAAACAACTTCCCTCCGATCCAAGTTTTCCCCGTAAAAAAAAAAAAAAACATTAGTAATTTAAATAGCGTTTAAATAGTCAATTTGTAGTTTTGTTGTATCTGTATTATGTTTCCTCGGTCTAATTGTTATTTTTCCCCCCGATCATTGATAGTTATTTTCTCTTCTTTCTTTTTTTAGTGTTTTCCTGTTGGATTCTGGTCATAGTATGGTGTTTTTGGGTGTTTTGTATGGTACGTGGAGTTGATTTACTTTGGTTGAGTGACAAGAGTAGTTATTCTTTTGGCGCTAGAGATCTTTCCCGACTTAATTCGGTTCATACTCTTAACTGAGGTTTCTATGATTTGTTATATTTGTTTGTTCAATTTCTTGAATTTAATTTAATATCCCTTATGCAACAACGATGAGGGGTGTATTCGCTTCTGTTTGCTTGGGCTGATAATCCTGAGGACTTTGTCACAGAGATCAGAACAAGGTTGCATGTGAAATTTTCTATTCACTTTTGAGGTTTTCCCAATTTATCAGCGTGCGAACCACCCAAGTCAAGTGCAACATCAAGGTTTGTGATTTGAGGTTTGCTGTTGGAGATTCCATGCCTTTTAAATTCATTGTTCTTTATGGATTTGTTGACAGCTATCTGTGCTTTTTATTTTCTTGTAATGATCACAGTGTTCAATTTACGGAGTATGCTTAGAAACATGTGGCCATGTAGCAGTTCTGCAATGGCATTCTGTTGACCACATGTTACGGACACAATTAGATGAATGGTTGTATCGGCAGAAAGACCTAATTAGAAATAGTGCTATCTATGGTGATCATTGTGTAATAGGTGATAGTTATTATTTAGTAATATAAATAGAGAGTTTTACTGATGCAGTAAATTAATCAAAGAATGAATTAAAGACTGAACTCTATCTTCTTCCCCGGCTTCCATGTTCTTCCCCAATTCACCTTCTTCCTCCCTAAAAATTAGGGTTCTTTCTCATCCCAAACTCTGTTCTGAACTCTAATCTCCCCCTCCTACCATTCTTTATGCATCAAATGGTGTTTTCTTTGTCCTGAACTCCACCAAAACACCGATTTTCTTTGGTCCGAATTCCACCATGTATAGGTAACTTCAACCTGTTACTCAATCGCCGCCACCGTCGCCGGTACCACCGTCAACTCCGGCTCCATCCCCACCTCAAATCTCCTTATTTTCAGGCACTAATCCCCATCAGTGGTTATTTCAAATTGAAAATTTCTTCTCTTCTCACTCAACGCTAACCCACCAAAAAGTCCCTTAGCCTTCTTCCATATGACAGGTCAAGTGTTGCTTTGGTATCAGTTGAATTTCCCCTTCTCTTCCTGGGAACATTTTACTATCCACTTAAAACTTGGCTTTGGAAACCCTAGCCTAGTCACTCCCGGAGAAATCAATTTTGTCTTTGGGAAAGGATTTTTTGAGCGATTAAACCAGCAATTGGAGGACTTCGGAGCTGTTGAGGTCGAACGGGATCCCTCAGTTGAGCTACTTGCTGTTGGAATTCTGTCTGAGGATGATACCTCAACGCCGAGATGTTCAAATTTGGAACCACAAATTCCAGAGTCGGCGGCAAAAACGTCGGGCCTTTTGTCCGAAATATCCAGAATCGGCAAATGCAACCATATTGCAGGAGGTAAATCTTCTCGCTTTGCCAAAATAGAAGACGTTTTAATTTCCGATGGTGAAGGAAATACTCTTGTTGAGATTCAGAGTTCATATTATGTGGACCAAGATTTTGATTTGACACCGAATAGCAATATGGATTCCTGGTTTAATATTGATGATTCCGTTGCCGTTCTTTTTGGTAATTGTCAAGTAGAAATGGGAGATTTTGGTTTGCTCCTATCCGGGTTCAAGGGTGGAACTAATTTGAGTGTTAAAGATATGTTTACAGAGAGTATGAATATGAATTGTATAGGTTTAGTTACATGAGATGATTTTCAGCAACTAAAAGGCATAGCTTACACAAACTATTTTTATGGAGCCATGTTGATACGAATCTTGAGGCAAAGGTGGCAGATTTACCTCAACGCGGAAGCTATAAATATCTCAAGACTTGAAAACTTGCAAATCCAATATTATGGACTCCAAACTCATGAAAAATAAAAGGAAAGAAGAGATGCAAACCACAAAAATTTGCACCAAAAAGGGATCGAAAGGTTTAGAAGATGTAAAAAGTGTTTAAGGCTAGCAACCCAATCGTTCACCTCTCTAACAACCCTATCCCTTTGATTTATGGATAGAACGGCTAGCCAAAAGCCTCCAATGAACAACTAACAAAGCTCCACAACTAGAAAAATACCTATTCTATTCGCACGCATCAACAAAGCACAAGCTTGTGTGCAATGCACTAATCTTCGAAAAGAATAGATTAAGACCAAAGAGTTTCCTCTCATCTCATATTGAAATATCAAATTCATCAAAGGTACGTTTAAAATGCTGGCCAAGCACCCCTATTTATAGTAGAGGAGCCGAAAATTCTCCTAACAATTAGGAGAACAGTTTGATCTCTAACTCTATTCCTACTTTAAAGAACTAGAAATCAACTTAACCTCTAATTGACAACTTGTGTCTTGTCTAAGAAGACAATATATCTAGACACCTTTATAGACTTAAGAAACACTAGTCTAATGAAAATAAAACTCCAAATACAAAGAAATATTCTCTGAAAAGAATCTTATCCTTATCTTGAGAAGAATCTTCCTGAGTCGTCAACTCTATCAATATCTTCTTTGTAGAGTAATCATAGCCATCCAATCTTGATCTAATCTTCATCCAACGGTAGAGAGTAGACACCAATGAATAGACTTCTTATTCTGAATAAACTCTAAATTAGATAAAAGAGAATCATATCAAATCTTATCATTCCATGTGATAAGATTTAAATGATCTTATCTCTAAAAGATAGGGAATCTTCCAAATCTTATCTTTCCACAAGTGTGATAAGATTTAAATGATTTTATCCCTAAAAAATAGAGATTTCAACTCCTAAAAATGAGGAGATAGAGCCAGCATCCCTTGCTTGGTTTGTGGGCCGAAATTTCCTTCCTCAATTGGGCCTTGTAACACATTAATAATCTTGGACTTGTAACTTCCATATTTGACATTCTCTTGGGCTAAACCATTTCATATAAGATTATTAAGTGCACTTTTCATTCTTTTACTTCTAGTTCGAGTCATTGGGCCTCCAATGTTGAATAATGGATCTTGAACCACTCCTTGAGCTTGGATAGTACTTGGAACTCGAACACCTTGATCATCTTGGATTTGATTACCATGGATGTTCATATCTAAAAATTGATTTAATGGAATCTCTTGTCCCCATAGATCTTTTGATTAGCCATTATTTTATTGCTGGAGTTTATCTTCCTCAAAAAGGATTTGTACGGAATTTATTCGGAGCCAATCTAGTGGAAGTTGATGATTTGGATTGCTACTAACTGGATTCAAGGGAGACATTAGTGCTACTTGTGTGGATGGGGTGTACAAAAATGGCTATGTGAATTTAAATAGATTGGAACTACTGGAAGTTCTTCAGGGTTGTGACCCTAAGGAATCGCACAAGTCATGGCCAAAGAGAGCTGAGAATAACGTTGAATTTGGACATTTGTTTGATAATGGTTCTGTAATTTTGCCTGTGATATTGAATTTGGATGTGGCACTGGTTTAGGATATGATATTGTTCGCAAGGTTTTTACTGATAGAAACAGTTTAAGTCCCTGGAGCTTGACTTCAAGGATAATTATGAAGTTGAAATTGATGATAGTGTTAGTTGTTTCACTAGAAAAGAACATTGGTGGAGCTTAATTGCCATTGATCCAGGCGGACTTGGAACCTGTTTAAATGACAGCTCTATTCCGTGTGTTAAGGAACTTAGCTTTAAACATGTTGCTGAAGTATTGGTAAATACATTGGCAAGGTCCTCAAACCATGGGGGAAGATAGTTACGGGATTCAAAGGTGGCATCGTTTCAGGAAATCAGTATTGTAGGAATTTTCTTATTTCTTGGAATTCTTCTTTCACTTTATTTCACATTAGCAAATGTCAGTATCAGGTTTGCAAGGATTATTTGAACTTAAGTGAAATCTTGGCAATGCTTAGTTTTAATCCTATGTTTCTTGAGATGATAACTTCTATTGGTGGCATCTCTAAACTGGAAGTGACTTTTGGGGACTGTTTTAGATCTGATGGGAAAAGAACTGTCTGCTGCCACTTTTATAGCAAGAATATTATGGCCAAAATTAAAATTCTTTGGCTTGAGGGTTACATTACAACATCGATTGTAGCTTCCTGTGTGCTGTTTATTCTTTCAGGGTTGGCTGAAATTCATGGAGACTTAGCTCTGGATGTTTCATCCCAACCAGTGGCATTTGGAGGTTATAAAACCTCAAAATTGCTGGCAGTTAGTGTGTACAGCTTTGCAAAAGGAATCGGATCAGGGATGCAGATGGGTTATGCTCAAACTCACTCGGGGTTCACAGAAGACTCTCAGAGCAAAAATGTTGTCATTGGCTTCCATTATACTCCTGTGATCTTAAATGTATACTCATCCAATTTGTTGATCCTCACAGTCCAAAAGTTGGTGCAACAATGGGACAAAGTTGTAACCATGTTTAGAGCTGGCACTGTGATTTCGTATGAGCTGTTGTGGCCAATATTCAAGCAGAAGAAGGCAGGTTAGCTCAACTATCCATCAACTTGAGTTATGTTCTGAAAGTTGCTGTTGTTACGACTCAAATGTGTTGAGAATGACAGCTATCTTCTTTGTTAGGCTTGAGGACAAGCCTCATCTTCAAGGGTGGGATAATGTTATGGACACAATTAGATGAATGGTTGTATCTGCAGAAGGACCTACTTAGAAATAGTGCTATCTATGGTGATCATTGTGTAATAGGTGATAGTTATTATTTAGTAGTATAAATAGAGAGTTTTACTGATGTAGTAAATTATCAAAGAATGAATTAAAGACTGAACTCTATCTTCTTCCCCGGCTTCCATGTTCTTCCCCAATTCACCTTCTTCCTCCCTAAAAATTAAGGTTCTTTCTCATCCCAAACTCTGTTCTGAACTTTAATTTGCCCCTCCTACCATTCTTTATGCATCACTACAACAGCTACTACAAGAGGAGAGCTTTCAACTACCTTGTGCAGGGTGAGGATTTTAATATCACATGCATGATGACAGAATTAGCATTTAAGAGGTTCCCCTTCCATTCACTTGTTTTTATTTCATGTTTTTGGATAAAATTACCAGATCAGTTAGAGGCATAGAGCTTAAGAAAATAAAATAAAATTTTAGCACAATGCATTCTCTTTCTGGTTACAGCAGTTCTAATTTTTAATTTCTTGAGTTTGTTAGCGCTTTTCCTAGAGTTTCATTAGCCTTCCCTGTTCTTTTGTGATCGTATTAACATTTGCCAAATTGTTGCAAAAAAAATTTTCGTTCCTCCCTTAGTTTATCATAGATTCGGTGTTTATGCTATTCGAATTCTCATTGTTTCCTTTATTTTGGTATTCACATGATTCTTTTTATAGCTTTTGTTTGTCTCTCAGTTCTTTACATACGTTTCTTGGTGCAACGTATATTGGTAGGAAGTAGAAAGTGTTTTGTTTTCAGAAAGTAGTGTGTTTTAAATCCCAAATGGTAATTCATGAAGGATTAGGATTAGATTTTTCTTTAAGGATTATAGATTATGATTGACTTTGACAACGCAGGGTTCACTGGCTTGGTCCTGACAGCATTGTCCTGATTTCTACTTGATAACTTTCACCTCAAATCAAAGCACCTTATTACCTGCACAAATTTCCTCTTTTAGAACGGACAGCTAAATCGATTTATTTTTTGTTCTCGTTACAAAGTTCTAGTTTATTAGTCCTTGAATATGAAAATCACACAAAAAAAACTATCATTACCCACGACCCAGTTTCTTGAGTAAAAGCCTATGTGGTCGTGGGTGAATTGATTCTCCCACGACTTACCCACGAAAATAAGGTAGTGGGAGAATCGCCCATGGGTAATCATTCTCCCACGGACAGTCAACGCTCCGTGGGTAAATTCTCCCATGAAAACTGAGAGTTGTGGTAATTCACCCACAATAATTTTCGTGTGTACATCATCGGAGAATGGTTTCTGAAACAAAATAATTGATGAGAATTACCCACCACTTTCCGTGAGTAATCGGTGGGAGAAATAATTAATAAATAATTTTAACAAATACTTTACCCACGACTTTTCGTGGGTAAATCGGTGAGAGAAATAATTAATAAATGATTTTACAAAATACTTTTACCGACGACTTTCCGTGTGTAATCGGTGGGAGAAATAATTAATGAATGATTTTAACAAATACTTTTACCCGTGACTTTCTGTGTGTAAATCAGTGGGAGAAATAATAAATAAATGGTTTTAACAAATACTTTTACACACGACTTTCCGTGAGTAAATCCGTGGGAAAAATAATGAATAAATGGCTTTTGTAAATAATTTTACTCACGACCCTTACCGTGGAAAAAATTTAATTAGTTTATTTTATAATTTTTCTACCCACGATCCTTTCCGTGGGAGAAAATATAATTTATTTCTATTCAAATGTTTTTGCCCACAGTTTTTTCGTGGGTAATATTTTTAAAATATATTTAAAAAATTCATTTTTTTCCGGTCACATTCCTCCAAATCTATACAATAATTAAAAGTGATACATAATTCAAAATTCTAAATTGCATAATGTATTCAAATTTATCATCTTACAAAAGATTAGAAAATTAAGCATTCAATCGCAAATAAAATAAATCAACATCATTATCACTAGATTGATTCTAAAACCAACCAAACTAAACAACTATCTTATGTAGAATCAAACTCAAAATAAGAATTGAAAACTATTAACTAAGACTATGGTCATCGTCCTCCATTGAACTTCCCTCGGAATGACAATTGGAATGACAATCATCTGACTTCGGGTCATATTTCATACCTTCCAACCTTTGAGAAATTGATTATCATCAATATCAAAGATGATTTCCTTCATTCTGCAAATGAAGCCAACAACTAGTATTGTCAAAATCAACAAGTAGCATACTCATGGATCAAATTCAAGTAAGAATAAACTTCAGCCAATAATTTATTAGGCATTTAAAATCCACAGTGTTGAATAAAGCATTAGATACCTCCATCAATTAGTGGTCCCCAAAGCATCAACATACCTCTTTCATTGTTTTAATAGCAGGGCATGTTTCATTGTCCTCCTAAATCAAAGTGGTTTAAGACTCCCTAGAAGGTACCATGTTTTTGTAGAAAAGGGTATTTAATCAAAGAGAAATGAAGTTTCAAAATCAGTTGCTCAGACCTCACTGCTAAAAATTCAGAAACTACAGTGGTGAGCACATCATTTAAAAAAAAAATTTTCCGGTCATTCTTATTATTATCCGATTTGCAAGCCCTCAAAACCAATAAAAACTGGGTTGAACGAAGAGGATATTAAGTGAACGAAATCAGGAAAATCGATTTATTAAGCGAATGAAATCAGATCTTCAAAACAGTGCCTTGTGCCAGTATTTTCAGAATTCAATCCATCCATTCCAAATGGTCATTTTCAAATCCAATTTCTGAGCAAACCAGTCCATTTATGAATCCGTAAAAACCTGAGTAAACTAAATTGAATGGAGAAGGAAATCATGAAAAGAAATCCCTTAGAACATTTTCGTAACCTAGAAAACTAAGCTCTGCAAAACAGCTACTCAGACCAAATATTTTCAAAAATTTTAGAAACTAAGTCATGTTTAAATGGACTTCCTTTTGGGACTATCACCACCATAATTGAACAAATAAAAGAAGCTTCATAACCTTCATCAAGTAAGGACTGGATTAATTAAAGACCTTGGGGGAAAAAACACACATAAATATGGAGGTTTAAGCCTCAAGAACGGGCTCTGTTACAGTACTCTTAAGAATTCAATTTCAACACATCTTTTTAATCGAATTGACAAGGTATGTAACAAGCAACAGAACAAAGAATCACATCACATATACTCCTTACCTAAACAATGGAAATTAAGAAGAGAAAATAAAGACACCGTTTTGTCCTACAAGTAATATTAAACCATATACATAAAATGATAAACCTTCATGTTTTGGACAGTATCAGAAATTGTTTAGAAATAAGACTATTGTTTTCAATAGGTTATTATTGCGAAAGGGATGATTCATAAGCAAAATATTTGTTTTCTTTTTGCATATATGTTAAAGGAGCAGTCATCAAACAAATGTCTAATCAGGGACCAAAAGGAAGTCAGACAGCACACATTAACAAACTGGCACCCAAAAAGAAGGAAGGGACAGTCGCAGATACAAAAGCAAAGCATCATGGTTTTCATTAGAGTTTACCTCTGTTATGAAGTTAATCATTATATGAACTTACAAGTCATAACACTCACATTGGTTCCATAGAAGCCTCCTCTTTTACATCCCAAGAAAAAGTAAACCAAAAGACCGAATCCTTTTATATGGTGCTTTTACTGATCATCAAATAAAATGCAAAGGAACGCATTTGGATTTAAACCGACTAACAAGGCAGGTAATTGGTGAAAAGATTTTACCATTATCACTGCTGATCCACATTTCAATTAGTTTGTACAGCAAAATGGGATTCCCTACATTGATTCGATATAAAAACATTCAATATTCTTCTTTAGCTTATATGACATTTTAACTTCAACGTTAATGGTTCCAATTTTATAGAAACTTAGAAATAAAAGGTTAAAACAAAGGAACAAAGAGGATTAATCACATCAAAGCCCTAAACAAGAACATTGAATAAAAAGAGAAATCGCAGCTAACCAATGGAGGTGAAGCAAGGTTTAGCGCTTGTTAGAGGATGAACCTGACCTTCAAAATTTTGATTACCAGAGTACATGACTACAGCTGAGAGATCTGCCCAAGATTAATAAAAAATTAGATAAAATGTTAAGAAACTTGTGCATTCCCATAAAGCAGAATAACCTAGTTACATACTAAGGTAATTTAATTTTGTTTGTTGGAAAAAATTGGCAAATTCGTTTTAAGGTACAACAACTTAGAAGATCTCTAATAATCAATCAAATTTTTCAAAATACACAATTAATCAACCAGCCAAAAAATTAAATAGAAGGTACTGGCATAAAATGAGCGCCGCCATCGGCTGGAACCAGAGTTGGGAAACTCCGATCAATGGTGGAACCTGCGACAGAAATACTCTAGGGCGCCACGTTCTAGGCTAGGATCCCATCCATTGTTACTAGCTGAGAAAACCACGCTGGTTCATCCCAAAATGGCGCGGAAACAATCATCTTTTCTTCAACCCCGCATCGAAGAATTACTCTGCAGCCTCCGGTGGTTTTGATTCGCCAAGATCTCAGCAGCCCAGGGGAATTTGACATCTAACCATGGTTGGCCACTCAGATCTAACTCAGTCATGATAGAGATCTACTCCACAGCCCTTGACCGAAGTCTTTTACCCCACCCCGGCAATTTCAGTGTTTTGTTGTTGTTGGCCGATGATACTAGCTCCGGTTGGTCGAGGTTGAAGAGGGATTGCTGCTGCCGATTGGTACAAAGAGAGAAGAAAGAGGGAAACGACGGTAGGGAGTGTCGTTGTGAGGGAGTGGTGTATATTTTTTTATTTTTATCCTATATATGATCTAATTTTCTGTCAAAAATTAGGGCGGGCTTTTGTTCCCTCCTCGTTTTTTTGGCCAAACATTTTCCCTCCAACAAAATTAATTCACTTATTTTTTTTTTTTGTGTTAGGTCGATTTTGGGGTAAGCAAAAGCTGGTGAATTTAGCCAAAAGCACCAAATTTTTTTTGGCAAAAGCGGGACTTTTCTCGTCTTTTTTTACCTTATATTTAGTAATACGAA